AAATTATCCAGTCATGAGAGGACAATCAGAATATTTCAGACAAAAACAAGTAGCTTTAACTCTTAAAAATAATGTCAATTAATGAAGGACCACCCAAGAATGACACAGAGATTGTCTTGGTTTAAAGGAAAGCCATTTCAATCAATTTCTCAGTTTGGACTTTGACATTACTGGGACTCTTGAATATGGACTACAAACTAGATAATATTCTTGTACTAATGTTAAATTTGATGGTAGTGATGATAGGATTATGATTATATAGAATAATGTTCTTGTTCTGAGGAGATACAGGCTGAATATTTAGGGGGTCGATTTGTGTACACACACATTTTAAGAAAAAAAATTTTTTTTGTTTATTTATTTTGAGAGAGCGAGCGAGAGAGAGGCAGAGGAAAGGGAGAGAGAAAACTCCAAGCAGGCTCTGTGCTGCTGACAGGGCTGACATCGAGCCTGATGTGGGGCTCGGTCTCACAAACTGTGAGACTATGACCTGAGCCAAAATCAAGAGTCAGACACTTAACTGAGCCACCCATATGTCCCAAGAAAATAAATTTTTAATAGAAGAGAGAGAAACAAATGTGGTGAAATAGTAATTTAACTGGGTGAAGGGCACCTATGTGTTTATTTTACTAGTCTTTCAATTCTGTGAATTTAGAAAAATGTAAAGTAAAATGTTGGTAGAGGGAAAACAATCACCAATGAGAAATTTCAGGAGAGCCTGAAATGACAAAGTATAAAAATAAATATTGCATTCCATATTTGACTTTCTGTACATTATGGTATTTACTGTTTGATTTATCATACTAAAATATTCATAGTTTGTACATGACAATCGTATCTAACATGGTGGTGGTATAGAGAGAAGCCAGAGTTTTCCCTATCATCCTATTTTGCATTGTCCCTTTGAGTACAGCAGTCCCTTTTGTTTCCATACACACCTGCAAACTTTCTACCTCTGTAGGAATTTTCATGTGTCCAATGGGAGAATGTGTTTATGTTGCTTTTATAAATGTTGGTTATTATTTACTTAGGACAGCATCTGAAATAAAATGTTTCTTCCTGAGAATACAGGAGAATATTTATTTCTTCCAAAAGAAAGGCTTTTATTTAAACTGGCTTCTCATAGGAACTTATATAACTTAACATTATTAGAACAGCTAGAAGTATTAAAATGATATTGTTTAATGAGATAATCAATGATAAAAGAAGGTAGTGAACAATGTTGGTAAGTGCTTACATCCATGGTCGTATCTAAGACTCTTTCCTGACTTGGTCACTTTGAGTATATGTGCACTGAGACAGACCTAGAAGCTAACCATTCTCATGCAGTGGGCCAAGAGTATAGCTTTGTTTCAGACAGGTTGAACTTGAAGTTGGGCCCTCTGTTTCCTAATTGTATGACTTTAAACAACTGTTGACTTTTTCTGGACCTTGCTATTGTAACCAAAGTCGAGAAAGTTAATACTTTATATCCTCAAAGACTGTTGAGAAAATTTATGTAAGTGAAATAATGTATTTTAGATGCTCAGCACAGTAGCTGCCCCCAATAGTTCAAGCCCATTTCCATCACCACCAACATCTGCATCGTATCACCTCTGTTACCAGGAATCTCAATCCTGATTTTTGCCCGTTGGAACTCTTCTAAATCACATACGCCTGAAGATTGCTATATAAATTACCAAATAGAATTGAAACCCATAATATCACAGTCACTTCGCTGTTACTGTACAATGTTACAGTAATTTCACTGTTACTGTAATATTGAATATTTTTAGACTAAATCGTCTACCACTAATGGTTCCTGGCTATATGGATTGGCATAGAGCATCCATAAATAATACCATTATTCTCTGAAAAGGTACCATAAAGTGCCCTACTTTCCCAGAAATATTTTTGTTAAATTGTAGAGTATTAGTATTGCTGACTGGAAGTCCCTTTTCTGTTTTAATGTATTTTTTTTAAAGGAGGTCTTTTTTTTTTTTTTTAAGTTTATCCATTTATTTTGAGAGAGAGTGCAAGCAGGGGAGGGGCAGAGAGAGAAAGAGAGAGAGAATTCCAAGTAGGCTCTGCATTGTCAGTGCAGAGCCATACATGGGGCTCTGTCCCACGAACTGTGAGTTCATGACCTGAGCTGAAATCAAGAGTCAGACATTCAACCAACTGAGCCACCCAGGTGCCCCTATTTTCATGTGTGTTTGATAAAAATGATGTTAGTGTTTAAAGTGTCCATATTCCCATGCTGTGTAAGTTGTATAATTTCTATATCATGTGCTACTCTATAGAAGAATGTCATCAAATGAATTTTGTATATGTTGGTTATTCTTTACTTTGAGGAGTATGTAAAATCAATGTTATCACCTTCAACGAGCTGGTTTTATACAAGAAAGAAGTAAGACTATTTATTCCCGGGGCACCTGTGTGTCTCAATCTGTTGAGCGTCCAACTTCAGCTGAGGTCATGATCTCGTGGTTCCTAAGTTCAAGCCCCACATCTGGCTCCTTGCTGACAGCCTGTCAGTACATAGCCGTCTCCCTCTCTCTGCCCCTCCCCTGCTTGCAATCTCTCAAAACTAAACATTAAAAAAATATATTTATTCCTGTTTCATTCTCAGAATGAATTTTATTTCAATCTTATGTTCTTTAGTTCCACATCATTTTATAAAAGTTTTAAGTGATACTGGTTGTATTTGTTCATTTGGTTGTTGTCCTGGGTAAGGTTGTCCCCAAGCTGACTTTTAGATGAAGATTCATGGATATGTGGTTTATTAAGGAATGGCTGCCAGGAAAAAACAAGGAAGGGGAGAAGGGAAGCAGAACATGAAATCAGTCATCCCAAATAAAATGAAATTTAAGCTCCAACCTCACCTTGATCCCATGGGATCCTCTGGAGACGAAGTTACACCACAGAGTTTTTGTCCCGTTTGAAGCAAAGAAGCTGGGCTTTCAAACTCCTGCACCACGGGGCGTTGGCTGCAGCATCACCCAGGGGACCATAAATTTGCAAGGCAATTGAGGCTTTCAGCAGCTCTAGTAATCTGACATTGGTTCTCTGAAAAAGATGACAGTTACCCCACCATGCCCACCCAGAGGATGGGAGCCTCGCACAAAGAAACTACATCCTAGGGGAAAAGGACAGAAGGGCAGAGCACCACAGCATTTGCTGGAATCGTGTTTTTTTTGTTTGTTTTTTTTTTCCTTGTTTTCTCTTCCTGTAATCACTGTTAAAGCAGAAAACATTTTTGGTTCTAAGATAACAATGATGGTATCTGTGGGTAAACTGTGTTATCTAATCTGAGAAATGTTAATGAAACAGAGTTGGACAGTTAATGGAATTTTGATCGATCACTACATTTAGCACAAATACACCATATATAGAAGTAATGATTCATGCTATCGAGGAATTCTCAATTTCATTTTAAAAAGGACATCATACAGAAAACACAATTGCATAGAGAAATACAATTTAATCTGGAATAGGGCTATCTGATACATGTGTTTAGGATGATGGAATAGAATGATTAGGGTTGGTCAAACAAGACAGTGCTCAATATGTATATTTTGCACAATATTTTAATGCACATCAGTTGTAAAGAGAAAAACATAATGCTTTATGGGAAAATATGCAGAACTAAGGTGAAAATCAATTCATTTACATATAACATGTTTATTTGAATGTCTCTGACAGCTCATTATAACGTTTTTTATTTATTTTTGGGACAGAGAGAGACAGAGCATGAACGGGGGAGGGGCAGAGAGAGAGGGAGACACAGAATCGGAAACAGGCTCCAGGCTCCGAGCCATCAGCCCAGAGCCTGACGCGGGGCTCGAACTCACGGACCGCGAGATCGTGACCTGGCTGAAGTCGGACGCTTAACCGACTGCGCCACCCAGGCGCCCCTGACAGCTCATTATATTGCTACAAACTTCTTTATAGTCTCATCCTATCCTATATTTTACTTGTATCAACTTGGATTATAACACCAGATTTTGTTGTTTCACCTTGGCCAGTGACCGTAAACTGTGTAGAAGGGCTAATACAATACATGGCAGACTCAAGAGTAAAATCATCTTGATAAATGTTATAATGCACAAGTGAAACCAATAATCCATGTTTATAGTGGTATGGATAAAACATAGTACTTCTATTAAAAGATCAGTTGTACAAGTACACAGTTGTCACATAAATTGGACAGGCCCAATATAACCTAGGAGTTTTGTAGTTATTAATTTCACAATGCTTTTATAAAATAGGATAATAGTATGCAGTTTATGGAAGGGAGTAGTACTCTACTAGTTGAATAACTTTTGTAGTATTGCTTTCAGTTCTCAGATATATTTAAAGGACAAACACAAAAGACCATTTGAAGAAGTTAGATGGTATGTACAATTTTTGGACACCTTGTAGTTGAAAGAAACCTTGAATGTTATAAATGTTTTCAATGTGAAGAAGAGAAAGCCTAGAGAAGATACAGTGACCATTTTTAAGTATTTGAAGGAACATAATGGGGATCAGATTGTAGATTTTGTTCTCTGTTGCCCTGAAACGTCAAGTCTCAAGTTACCGCTCTCTAGATACGAAATGGGTTGTCTCTGAGTCATGGGTCTTCCTCTGGTACTGTCTCCCTAGTAGTGTCATCTGAAGCCAGATGCCATTTGTCAGGGATTCTTTACAAGAAGAAGGTGATTAAATTAAGTCTGAGGCTCCTTCAGTCCTAAAATTTCCTGAATCCATTTATGAACCTGCATAATTATAAGCTGTGTTCTAGAGCACACTTGACAGTGAAATTTACCATCTCTCTTAAAAGCTTTAAAAGTAAATATTCTTACACCATTAAAATACATATGGTAGGTGGTTAAGAAAAACAAAGTAGGTGAAAAGAAAAACGATAAATAATTCATGTCTTGATTATTTAAGGCATACAGCATACGTAAAAAATATTTCATTGTGTTCACTGCATCTCAAAAATTTATTTTATTGAAATGCAATGTTTTCGCTTTTAGGTTTTTGCTTCCAGTTACTGGAACAGCAGAAAACTGTCTTCTTACTATTTACCCATATATGGCAACTCATCTTGATAAACAAACAATTATTTTAAAGGAAGGTAAGTTAGATATGACTGTCGTCTCCTACTCTCACTGTATATGCTCTTGTCATCCAAGCCAACACCTGAAGATAAAGTGACCTTAAAATTAACTGATGTTTATTAATCTCCTGCCATTTCCAAGAGCTGTGTTTAGCACTGAAAGTATAATATGGCAGTGTCTCTTAATTGCGAAAGTTGAAAATCTAGTCAAAGACTCATAAATAAATAAATACAAAGAAGATTGAATTAAGAGTATTGTACATGAGCTAGTTGGAGTGTTGGAGATGTGGGTGTGGTGCAGAGGGTAATGCTGACATATGGGGTCTGGGATGACTTTATAGAAAAGGTGATATCTGGGTAGAGCTTGACAAATGATCTTGAACAGGGTAATCTGGGCAAAGGGCAATATAACAAAAGCATGAGGGTCTTACTGGCGACACGAGGCAGACAATAAAGGGGCCACTGCACCCTTTATTCTGTAATAGTGGGAACCTTCTGTGATTTGTGAGTATCAGTGATTTGGAAAGGGAACAGTGGGGATGTGAGCTGAATTAAAATTGGAGAGTGATCAGTAGGCCAGCTGGGAGTTACGGCAGAGGAAATGGTGAGAGACTAAGAACAGTATGTGCAATGTAAGACATGGAGGAGGATGATGGAGTCAGTCTCAGACGAGGAGAAAGGATGAAGTATGGGAAAAACGTGTCATCTGTGTATAGTGTCAAGGCCTTGTTTCAGTGCTGTATTGGATATCTTTTCTGTTTGTAACCGGTTTTCTCCTGTTCTCCACTTCTCCAAATGTGCCCCACTCCTTTGGAAACTCTTTAGTTCTGTTCTGTCTCAGTCTCAGGGCATGACCTTTTCTGGAACTTTTCAGAAACAATGGAGACCATCAGGCAGGAACACTCTGAACTTCCAAAGCGTGCAACTGACCCATCATCTTTCCTGTCACAAACCTGAGAGAGGTCAGACTCTCTTGCCTTAGGCCATTCCTTTATCTGAATCCCTTCATCCTCAAACCTTACTTAATCAGCTAATCTTGCTTACTCTTACCCTTCAAATTATGCCTCCCTCTTAGCTGCTTTGGGGGCCAGTGCAGGATGACAGCTGGAGGAAACAGGAGCTATATCTTCTCAGTGGACAGGCTTGTTCCCAAAGAGGAAAAAGAGTGAATCTAGGCCATGCATTCCTGATTTATTCCTTGCAAATTTACCAGATAAACCATTCAATTTCTCACACAGAGGGAGAACAATAGCAAAGGAAACTGAATAATTAGAATACCATAGCTTCCTTTAACAGGAAGGACATGTCAGGGGTGAGGCAGAGCATTCTTCCACTTTACTGCTGTTACTTCACTACTGAGCAATAGTTTATACTGTTGACCCCCGGCCCCAACCCTCTTCAAACTCTTTCTGGACTTCCACATACCATACTTCCCCGAGATTCTTCTCACCTTGTGGACTGTTCCTTCCAAGCACATATATATTACAAATTTTATACACAGTCTCAAAATTTAAAAGATTTCTGACCAATCCTGGTGTTATATTTTTATATTCTTCTAATATACTTGAAGGGTAGGGGAGATTTCAGATAATATAACAGAAAGAGCAGTGGATGAAGTATCATAGAACGTGGGTGGAAATTCTATTTTGTGTTCTGATCTCACCATTTGCCTTATGCTTTTATTGTTAACTCTCGAATCCTCAAACATCTGTTATTTAGCAAAATATGCGTGGTAGGAGAGTAATAGGATACTAATAATATCTATTTCAAAAGGCTTTTGTGAGGACTCAATAGAGTAAATAGCTATAAATTATTGTTACTATTATCATTTCATTATTTTACGATTATAAATATTATTATAATTGCTTTAACACTCATAGTTTTCATAATATCCTCCAAAAAAATAATGAGTTACTGTATAAAATATTGCTATTTCTTTAAAAGAAAAAAGGGAATAGAATCTTAGTGTTTGATTAAGTATGAAATCTGTGGATTAAAAATAATGCATCCATTTCAGTAAATATTACTATAGAAAAATGTGATTTTTAAATGTTCTAAAATATCTTTAGAAATAAGTATAGTCATAATTTGTATTATATATTTAATGCTTCCTAGGCATAGGGTACTCTGCTAACTACCTTATATTTGTTATTTCATTTAGTTCCCCCAACGACTGAGTTGATACTCTTATTAATTTCACTTAACGGATTAAGAAACTGAGTCATAAAGAGTTTGAACAGTTTGCCCCAGAGAATTCTAACCAAATTTGTAAGGCCTCGGAGCCTACACACTTAGCTACTGTGCCCTAGAGTATGATATGTTCAATAAAGGTGAAATCTTAAAACATATTAAGTAAATCAAAAATTAAAGCAGTGTGATTTGTTTCTTACAGCTAATATGCTAAATAAAAACTGTTATATGAATCATTGACTTTAGTTGAAGGGTACAGATGTGGGTATGTACCCCACTATGAACTTTTTATCATTTGATAGTAAGTTGAAAAGACATTGCCTAATGCATCCACAATGAATCATTCTGTCATTGGATTTTCTAAGGCTCATTTTAATGAAGTCTTTAGTAGTGTAATGTTGCAGAGATATACACACCTACTCGATAACGATTCTCTGTCAAAATCTGATTGGCTTTTTATTGAAGGAATGGAAGAAACTTCGTATATACCAGCTTACTTATCTATGTTATTGCCTGTAAAGTAACCCTCACAACAAATTCATGAGCTCAGAACGTTTCATTTTGTGTATAAAAACATGTTTCAGAGATCTTGTAGAACATACCATGGTTTAATAGCTCAGGAGTTGTAGTACCAAGATTTCAAATTAGAAATTTCTAACTGCAAAGGCCATGTTTTTCTGACAGGATTACATTATGCATATATGTATACAAATATACATAGGTATATACATATGTGAATAGATAGATAAGTAGATAGGGAATCTGGTCTTTTCACATCTATTGCCTTTTCTTAGCATTGCCTTTGGCTGGGTTCATATTACCATGTTGGCAAATTCTAGTGTATAGACAGCAACTGTAGCTGGAATAGAGATTGAAAGCTGTGCAAAATAGTGTCAGCTCATAACGAAGCAGTGATTTCATTTCAGAAAATTGAGAAGAAATTACTTCTGTTAGTGATGTTCTTCTTAATATTCACTTTTGAGCACCATATTTAATAATTCCAAAAATTTCACTGTAGAAACATTTTAAATGGTTTACACATCTTTGTTTATCCTAAAGGTGAGCATTGTTCATTTCCTAAAAACTTTGATATGCCATAATAATTGCCTTGTTAAATAAAATTAATTCAACTCAGAAAACCATATCAGCCTTTATTGTGTTTTTTCTTGACATCTTATTTTAAGTATAATGGACATTTAGACTTAAAAAAAAAAACTTTTTAGAGGCACCTGGGTGATTCAGTGGGTTAAGCGTTCGACTTTGGCTCAGGTCATGATCAGGTTCATGAGTTTGAGCCCCACAATGGGCTCTGTGCTGTCAGCACAGAGCCTGCTTCAGATCCTCTGTCCCCCTCTCTCTCACTGCCCCTCCCCTGCTCATGTGCACTCTGTCAAAAATTAATAAAAACATTAAAAAATTTTATTCTATGTATGTATATATTCATATTTATTATATAATATATATTTTATGTATAATTATGAAATTCAGGTTCAGTAATTTGATAGTCATTTCACAAATGCTTGTTGACCTACTATGTTCCAATGTGTCATTTGTAGATAAGAGTGACATTTCTGTGAAGAGTGGAGAAAATGTGTTGCTTCCCTACCAAGAAGATGGTTTACTCTCTTCTACTTTGACTAAGCGTAATGATGCTGAGCCTGCAAAGAAAAAATTATTTGTTGGTATGTGGCAAATAAATAATGTACTCAGCCAACCAAGTTCATAACATGATCTATTTAATATTATTGAGTTGAAAACTTAGGCTTTATGAGGTAAGAAGAAATCCATGAAGAAAACCATGCATTTTTCATTAATTGCAAGTGGGTCATATGCTCTGGGAGCTGTCTGCAATGATCTGGAGCAGAAATTCTCTGATGTTTTTTGTTCACAGTGTACTTCCTATCTCAGTACTTTCCCCCTAGGTCAGAAGATGTGCCAAGCAGTTCTGTTTATTAAATAGTTCGGTTGAAAAACCAAAGAGTAGTAATTCACGTGATCACCAGCATATGTTGTAGTGATATTTAACTAAAATGTTAAATATCCTGTAGAGCCCCTGTGAATCTGCTGTGACATCCCCAGTACTCTCTGTATAGTTAGGGAACTTCCAAACTAGTGGTTTGTCTGTTATTTGTTGAGCTGGATCTAGTATTACCTGTCTTAGAAACAGATGAGCACAGAGAAATAAATATGCAAATTTGTTATTATCATTTGTAATGAACTATTCAAATATTATTTTCTCTAGAATGAGTAATATTGAAAATGTTCCTGTTTACTGAATGGACCAAACCCAATTAAATATTGTGAGGTTTTTAAATGAGTGTGTGCTTGTGCCATTACATAGATATTTTTGAAAAAGAAAAAAAAAAGTAAAATCATTTTATATTGAAAATTTCTATAACTTGAGATGTTTTATTGAAGTACTTCTCTTGGATATATAGTCATTTTGAATATGAAACCAATATTTTGTTTCTATGAGTTTTTCAGCTAAGGTTTAATTCTAGTAAGTAGAACTGAAGAATTGTCGAAATAGTTTACATATGTATTTGAAAATGAAATGTTTCATTTTGGGGAATGTTTTCACCATTATGACAAGAAGAAAGTTTAATGATTTTCTTTGTTGAAACTCATCCACTTTTAAAGTGTTTTTTTTAGGTCTTTGCAAACAAAGCTATTTTTGTATTTTTAAGATACAATCAATTGACTCAGAATTTCTTTGAGAGCATTGAATAATTTGCAGAATGAGTTTTATTTGTCTACATGCAAATAGCAATAGCTGACAAGATATTTTACTCTCTGGTGATGTAATTTTTTGTTTGTTTGTTTTTTTACAAACAAATGTGAATTTTAGGAATCGAAATAATACCTGAAAGATTGAACTCGGGCAAAAGTAAAACCTCAAAGGAAAACAAAGATAAATCTATGAAAAAGGAGGAGAAAAATGAGCACTTCTTTTCTCTTGGAGAAGGAACAAAGGCATATGACTTCTTTGAAAAGGTTGTACACGCTGCTCAGACCTGGTTCAGTCTCTTTGGCTGGCCTGAAGGACCCCATTCTCTTTCTATTCCAGAAACTATAAGAAGGTAACAGTTATGTGTTTCTCTAAATCCTTTGCTTTGTATCATATAATAAAATGTAATATATTCTTTGAGGTTGTTTTAAGTGAAACACAATGTTAAATTATTTTGCTCTACACTCATAAATTATGAGGACGCTATTCAGAAAAGCAAAAGAGTGCAAATATAGATTCTTTAGTATTCGTGTGATTTTTAATTTCTTCTAAACATCTTATGATTTGAGGTCAGTACTGACAATCTCTTAACCTCAGTTTCCTCCAATGTCAAATGAGAAGGGGTAAACTATGGGTAGGAAAAGCCCTTGTAAATTTTAAAAAGTTTGGAAATTCCCCATGTATAGCTAAGGAAATACCAGCTCTCGATCTAGAGTATAGCCTGGTAGACGGTACATTTACATTAGTCTTTTATGTGCTTTTTAGGACTCAGCATGTCTAAAGTAGATAAACTGCCTTGGTTTATATCAAATCATTTAATTCTGTTGTTAATTTAAACTGGAATTTAGGCACCACCCTTGTTGCAACTTTGCTGCTGTGGTGGTTCTCTGTAACTAGAAGGGCCATAGTAGAATTTTTGCCTCTATAGTTAGGAGCGAGGTAGGTTATGCTAAATCTCTAGTTTTCCTATAAGTTATCTTTTTCAGTTTTTTAAATGAATGGGACAATATCAGCTTCATAGAATGAGTTAGTAATATTTCATCTTTACCTGTGTTGGGGGAAAATTAATACAGCAGATATACTGAAAATGTACAGGCTTGATCATACAATCATCTGACTCCAGGGAATTTTTTAGAAAAGTTATTCTGTTAATAACTTTTTCAGTTTTCTCCTTTGGTGTTTGTTCTGAAAATGGTACCTATTTCGAGTAAATTTTAATGATGTATTTTCATTTTAGGGGAAATCATTGATGAGACATTTCCAACTCATTATTTGACACTAGTGACTGCTAGTATTATTGTTTTTATGTTCATAGTCTCTTGCTCATTTATAATTTTTATTTAATTTTTAAAAACTTTATTTTTTTTGAGAGAGACAAAGAGAGCACGAGCGGGGGAGGGGCAGAGAGCGAGAGGGAGACACAGAATCCAAAGCAGGCTCCAGGCTCTGAGCTGTCAGCACAGAGCCCTACACAGGACTCAAACTCATGAGCTGTGCAATCATGACCTCATGACCTGAGCTGAAGTCAAACGTTTAACTGGCTAAGCCCCATCATTTAATTTTTATTTATTTAACTTTTATGTCTCACGTGGTGAATACTTGAAATAATTTATCCATTTCTGTGTTTTCTAAATTATTTAATGCTGATTTTTTCTTTACAATTTACTTCTTTAAACTTGAATTGTATGTTTAATTATTTTCAGATCTATAAATTTATCTCGTTATTCCTTGTTGGGTGCATCCCAGAATTTTTGCTATTAAACATTCTCATCTTTGTTGGGGTTTTTTTTGTTTTTTTTTATCATTTATTTATTTTTTCAGAGACAGAGACAGAACGTGAGCAGGGGAGGGGCAGAGAGAGAGGAAGTCAGAGATTCTGAAGCAGGCTCCAGGCTCTGAGCTGTCAGCACAGAGCCTGACATTGAGCTTGAACTCACAAACTGCAAGATCATGACCTGAGCTGAAGTCAGATGCTTAACTGACTGAGCTACCCATGCGCCCTCATTTTCATTTTTTTTTAATAGAGTGTATTATTTTAATTTTCTATTTTCTATATACTTTTATTGTAATGATTGCTAAATTGTTGTATAATGTGTTGTTGGATTTCTGTGGTCTTGCATACTTGCCCACTCACATTAACTTTGGGGCATTTACTTATGTTATTTTGTTCTATATTTTCATAATGTAAATGGTGCTGAAATTCAATACACCTGGGGCGCCTAGGTGGCTCAGTCAGTTAAGCTTCCAACTTTGGCTCAGGTCATGATCTCACCGCTTGTGAGTTCAATCCCTGTGTCAGGCTCTGTGCTGACAGCTCAGAGCCTGGTACCTGCTTCAGATTCTGTGTCTCAGTCTCTCTGACCCTCCCCCACTTGTGTGTGTGGGCGCGTGCTCTCTTTCTCTCAAAAATAAATAAACATTAAAAAAAAAAGATCCAATGTATGTTTTAAGTGGTAGCAGATATTTCTGGATGTTACATAGGAAGGATTTCAGAGTTGTGATCACTGCATCAAATAATAAAAGCTTTTAAAAATCTGTTTTAGTTTTGGATGATTTTCTAGTCAGTTTTCTATTTTGTATCCCTAGTCATGAGTTACATTGCTGGTCTGGTTGTTCCCTGATGGATTTGAGTATCTTGCTATTTTGATAAGTGGGAAACAGCTCATGTCATTGGGTACTGCTTGGGGGAAGACAGTTCTAGAGAATATGGGGACCTTTCTAGCCCTGAAAAAAAAGCTGCCCCAAACCAAATGTTGGCCATCTTTGAACCCCCCACCTCAATGTTTCCTACATCACCCCATCATCTGGAATCACTCAGTTTTTCTGATGAGAAGTCCGATGTCATATTTTGTGAGTACCATGTTCATTCTCTCAGAATTATTTTATGGTTCCCATTTCTCTGCTAATGTATTCTGCAGTTTATGAAATAAAATCCGAGTGTGGGAATATTTTATATCATTCAATCTACTTGGTATTCTTTAGGCCCTTTCACTTAGAATACTCGTGTTTTGACTATTCTTCCATGCCTCCTATTTCCTGTCCTCTGTTTTGTCTATTTTTCTCTGTTGTCTCTCTCAATCTCATTTTAGAATGATGGAGGACCTGCGTGACTGATCCTTTATACCACTTTCAGTTATGTCCTGCGATATAACTGGACATATTTCTCTGTCTTTGCTTTCTTAAGTTTGTAGATCACTTTCACTTGCTCTTCCAGTCTTCTATAAAATTTTTTTAAGTTGGTTTTTATAGTTTTGTTTTCCAGGAACTCTGTTCTTTATTCCTTCCTCCCTCCCTTTCTCCCTTCTTTCCTCTTTAACTTTAATAATAGCATCCTTTTTTGTGTGTTATGGATGCATGCCTTCTCAAATATCTTTTCCACATATAGCATTTGAATTAATCATCACGATTTCTGTACCAGAGGTCACTTCCTCCTTCTGTATCTGCCAGCTGTAATGCTGGTGTCTCTCTTAAGCTCCTTTAGGAAAAATGGCGTCCTTTCCCCATGTAGCCTACTGCTGTGCAGTCCATCATTTTAACTTATTCCTCAGTACAATTCTTTATTTTATAGATATTCTTCAGGTTGGTATACTAATGGTTCTTTCCCCAATTTGAGTGTTTTTAAAGGTCTCCAGTCTTTCTGACATTTCAGAAACATTTTGAGAGGGAGAGAAGATGAGCACATAGTTCATTTTATTATCCTGAACAGAAAGTTGCTCTTTCTCGTAGTTTGTTGAAGTTTTACTCTTCTGTTTATCCGAGCTTAATGACCTATCATTTCTGTTATTGCTTTCATTATTGTGGTCTAATAATCCATCTACTGAACTTGCTTTGAAATATGTTTCCTACCTTATTCCTGTAAAAATGATTTTGTGGGGCGCCTGGGTGGTTCAGTCGGTTAAGCGTCCCACTTCAGCTCAGGTCATGATTTCACAGTCCATGAGTTCGAGCCCCACGTCAGGCTCGGTGCTGACAACTCTGAGACTGGGGCCTGTTTCAGATTCTGTGTTTCCCTCTCTCTCTGCCCCCTCCCCGACTCATACTCTCTCTCTCTCTCTCTCTCTCTCTCTCAAAAATAAAGATTAAAAAATTTTTTTAAATAATTTTGTGATGGTATTTTGTTAATGATAATGGTTCATATGTATTAGACTCTTAACTATGAAAAAGGTATAATTATATGTGCTTTGTGAGTATTCTTTACAATGAATGACCTGTGAGGTAGGTACTATAGTTATCCCCATTTTACCGATGAGGAACTGGAGGCAGAGAGAGAATAAGCAACTTTCTCAAAGTCACTCACCTGATAAATAGCAGAGCCAGGATTTGAACCCCACCATTCTACCCCCCCCCCCAGTGCCAGTACTTTTAAGCATCATTCCACTTTTCAATTATTACAGGATCACATTAAGATTTAGAAAAGTTTATGGGGTGCCTGGGTGGCTCAGTTGTTTAAGTGCCTGACTCTTAATCTCAGCTCAGGTCTTGATCTCAGGGTTGTAGGTTCAAACCCTGTGTTGGACTCCACACTGGGTGTGAACCCAAATCAATCAATCAATTAAATAAATAAATAAATAAATAAATAGGATTTAGGAAACTTTAATACTTGAAAGACGTGAGCTCCACTTTTGTCTTTAGTTTTAGGCTGAACACTATATGTACCTATGGTTAGGTATATTAGTTCAAGAAGATTAAGAATACAGTAGTCTAGAACTGAGGAGAGTTATGTAACCCTAATATGTACAGGCCACATCTAGGATTTCAGACCAAATGAAGCTCAAATTCCTGGGCAAGCCATGAATTTTACTGAAGTCAGCCATGTTAGCAGGGAAACTGAATTTCCTGGCCTTATATGCACTAACCCCCGACTGGAGGGTCATCTACTACAGGATATAAAACCTGGAAGACTAGAATTCATTGTGAATTATAGTGTGGGTATCAAAAACTTTTTGTTTTCCTTTTAACATTATTGAACATTTTTTGACATATTTATGCATCACCTTTCTTGAACCTGAAGATATGGGTTGTCAGAAATGCTGCTTTATTGATGTATTATCTCAGGTAATTTCACTCTTTACAAACACCAATTTGCAGCAGACAGGCAATATGGACCATTTCATTTGTTGATTTGGGAGATATTCAGGTGGAATAGCAGAAACCAATTATTTGAAGAGATTACCTTTATTGATTAGTAGTCTGTTTTCAGTTCTTCAAGGCCCTTAGATATTATTTATTTTCAGCCCTTTCCCAAATCACCAAAAGATGGATATAGCTATTGGAAACTATAAGAGAGCACAATTTATGTTCCAGAAATCATCAGAGGAAATGTACTAAATATCATAGTCCCCTAACTTTAACTTGGATGACTTGTGGGAATTCACATTTTTTCCAGACACTGCTTGGGAAGGTCTCTATGCAACTGACCACAGAAACATTTAAATCACATTGGAAATTCCAGTGCATCTGGGAGAAGTGATTGCAGTACATCTCAATGCTAGTCTGCACTTCCATTCCAACATGTATCACCTTCCAGTTGCCACACACTAAGAGCACATCTGGGAATGCCTCTCAGGAAGCCTGGGGGAATGGGTTCAAAGGGGAAATTGTTTCAAAGCTACATTCCATTGCAGAAGTTCTCATTTAGTGTAAATGTATAGAATCTCACAGGAAATCAAATGAATCATTGAAATGTTCTACCATTCATAATGAGAGCATGCCAAATAAAATATTTTTCATTGCCTCTGAGTCCTTATTTGTAAAAAGGAGGTAATGATAATACCTACCTTATTGGGTTGTTGTGACATTTAAAAGAGGAAATACCTTTATTAAAACAGAGGTTGGGACCTAGTAAGTATTCAGTAAATGTTAGTTGTTAATATTAAATTAAATTAGGATTATGATAGTAGTGTTAAATATTTCTGACTTCGTGTATTGTATTCACCAACTCTTCTATTTGGTGGTGGAAAGTAAATTCAAATCCCACCTTTTCCAAGCACTTATACAAATGATATTTCATTAATAATATTTCTCCTTCCCTTGCACAGGATTTTTTGACAGCTTGATGCAGGAACTTTTGATGTTTAATAACAAGCGTGAGTGTGTGTGTGTGTGTGTGTGTGTGTGTGTGTGTGTGTGTGTATGGTATGCTTTTGCCTTTGCCACTTTGAGCTGCTGGCAACATCACTGATAAATTTAATAATATAAACATAAAGTTTCACCTCTATTTCTGGGCAGCCTGCCTATTCTTTCTGCCAACCATGTCCAAAAAAGTCACAAAAACGTGTCTTTAGACTGAGAGTGTTAGAATGAAACCAGTTAAATAACTGATTAGACTTGGCTTCCCTGAGTTCTTTTCACTTCTTCACATTACTCTAAGAATGAGGGATCATTTTACAATTTTTTTCCAGTTAGTTTCCTTCTTTAACCATTTTACTACTTGTTTGTTGGCAATAGTGGTAATTGGCAGGTGGTTTCTTTACATGAAAAGATAGATCACGACACAGGTACACCAAGCCTTTGGCTTGTGCATATTTTCTTAAAAAAAATTTTTTTTTAATGATTATTTATTTTTGACAGAGAGAAAGAGCATAAGCAGGGGAGGGGCAGAGAGAGAGGGACACACAGAATCCAAAGCAGGCACCAGGCTCTGAGTTGTCCACACAGAGCCTGACGTGGGGCTGGAACCCACAAACAATGAGATCATGACCTGAGCTGAAGTCGGACGCTTAACTGACTGATCCACCCAGGCGCCCCTGCTTGTGCATATTTTCAATTTCCAAAGTAGCGGCACTCTCAGAATTGAAACAGAAACTTAAAATCATTTACCATCGTATTATGTAAACGAGAAGACAAGAAATATGGTTAACAATTAATTATCGAGGTTTTAATTGATATGAAGTTTACATATGTGGGATATGCATACATATAGATATTAAAGAAAATACTCTCTTTATGCATCATAATTTGTGCTCCCAATGGACAATTCAGTTATTGACGAGCAACATCACCTTTTCCTCTAACAAACCTGAGGGCAGTATTTTTGTAGCTAATTTTGGTCAATCTTCATGTGCTAGAGGAAATTTGAAGACCCAAGCTGTTTCCTCGTGATGCTTTAAATCATGAAATAAAACACACATAGAGAAAGGTTAACAAACCAAGTACAACCCCTCAATTTACTCCTAGAGCAAGCCCCTGTGCACCTATCAATTTGACAGCACCCCAGAAGCCTCTTATGAACCTCACAATCTACCAAATCTCTATAACTGTAAGAAAATTACTAGCTTGACTTTTATGGTCAATCATTTCCTTGCCTTTTTATTTATTTATTTTTTCAGTTTTATCATCCAAGCATAAATTGGTAAACTCCAGAGTTTAAGTTCTCTGTTTGAATTTTCATAATTTTTGTCACTATGTAACATATGGACAGAATTACAACTATGTGACCATGTGTATAGCTGCCACTTAGACAAGGAACTAGTCCATTGCTCACATCCCCGAGTCCCTGCCACCTCCACTTCCCTTCCACCTCCCAGAGTAGTAACAATTATCCTGAATTCTAAGACCAAATATTAGTTTTGTGTGTTGTTGAATTTTACATAGAAAGAATCATACAGTTTGCATTTTTTTGTAGCATTTGGATTTTTTTTTCTCTTAGTATTATGTTCATGTGATTCATTTTGGCATTTAGTAGTAGATTAGTAGTAACGTTGTACACTAGGCCATTGTCTGAATATTCTATAATTTCTCCATTCTGTTCATAGATATTTCACTGGCTTTTGGAGTTTTCTATTATGAATAATGCCACTATGGAAATTTTGATATATGTCTTTTGTTACGTATTTCTGAAAGGCATATATATATAAGTGAAATTGCCAGATTGCAACATAGAAATATCACCTTTAAAAAATTTCTTTAGAAA